TTCCCCAAAAACTGTTTGATGCGTGGCACTCATACAAAACCTCCGCCTCATCTACGCGGTAAAGAGATTGGCCTCTGGTACGCTCAACAAAGTAAAGCAAGCCGTAAAAACGAACCGGTGAGTGTTTATTTTTGCCGCATATGCCCCTTGACGGGGACAGAATCATGTTGAGGCCCCGAACATTTATAGCTCTTTTTACATATTTTACATAACACGCAAAAGCACTAGGGATTCTCACAGCAGCTAGTAGGACAATACTCGGAAAAGGGGAAGTTTTCTACAGTCTGCTTTTTGCCCGATGTTTATGTAAATATGTTCAAAAATGCGTCTTTATGCAACGTCAGTTTTTCGAGGTACGATATCTTATTTAACAAATATTATTCGTTAGAAACCCCAACGAACCTGTTGCACCTCCCTTAAGCTCCCAAGCGGCTCTGTTAGGATAAGAACTATTAATTATTCTTAGGTGTAACATGTCCTCAGGTTTTTCTTTTTAAAATTTGACTTCTGTCTTCCGGCCTTTAATATCTTCACTAGGAACCCAAAGACAAACTTGATATGGATTTGTGATGCGGTCCTGATTCATTATATATGTGTATTAAATTACAAAAACGTAGGCGTATACTTATTCATGGCTTACGCTCTTTCTTTTTTGTAACTATAATGTCATAGCGGAAAGTAACGAAGTGTTTCAGCGAATGAAAAAAACTTGAGAATTAAGAAGGGTAACACCGACGCATTTTTGTGTGGATGCATGATTTAGTGCGTTTTAAGGCTCAGCTTTAACTGGCTTTTGTATTGTTGCATCCCATCGACAGTGTCACCGAAGAGCAATAAGAAATTCTAAACTAAATACTAATTTCAGTAACATATTTTATGACATTTAATTACGCTACTTTGACAAAATGACAACACTGCTTTTGCAGCCGACTGATGGGGGACCGAACTTGATCTATGTAATACGTTGCCGCAGTTGTAAATATCAGCCATTGAATTTTAAGCGTCTGCAATACCGTGACCAGCACAGCCACTGTAGTCAAATTCGAGAGGTGCAGCATCGTACACACGTGCCCTTTCTGTTTCTAAACACACCAAGTTTGAAAACGGCATAACACGTATTTTTCGACCCAGCATGTCTGTAATCTTGCTCTATGACACAAAAGACGTCAATCGGCTTATATTCCATATTTTATTCAGCTCACCAGATGGACCGCATAAGCGAGACAGATCTTCTGGTTTCAATAAAGACTGAACCAATTGACTTTTGTATAAGCGAACGCTCAGAAACGCCCGCGAAGTCTGAACCTCCCGTTCATAATACGTCCACGGTTTTCAAGGCTGAGCCAAATGTTGTCAAGCCTGAAGCATCACCTCAGAAAAAGCCTCA